TTATTCCCTGAGAGACTCAGAGATACTTACGGGTAGTTATAGCCATCTGGAATAAACAGGCTAGAGGAGTATCCTAGACATACTGTATTCATCCTTATATCTATGATCTGTACTCGTATTTATCCCTGAATAAGACTTCAGAGACAGTTTTTATTTGGTCTGTCGAGTGTCGAGTGTCGAAGTGTCGAGTGTCGAAGTGTCGAGTGTCGAAGTGTCGACTGCACTCTCTTGTTGAACGACATATACGTATAGGGTTTTTAAGATTTTAGGGTTATGGGTTAATTTGGTCTTTTTTTATTACTTTTTAGAAACAAAATTACACACATGAATTCTGGTGCCGTGGGCTTGGAGTTGGCCCTTTGTGTTGGCAAATTTATTTATTTTTTTGGTGGAAATCAACTAGCACAAATATCTATGGCAAAAACTCGACCGGGAAGAAACACATGTCCCCCCACATACCACTCGCTGCTCAATTTTGGTCATACACTCAAGGCTGTATTATCAGGAAAATCCTGATTTCGAGCTGCCGCTGTTTAGGTATATTTTGGCCGTGCGTATAGGACTAACGGGTTGTGTAGTATTGTATACAGTAGACGTTACAACTGTTTGTGTTGTGTTGTGTTGTGTTCCGTAGAAACATTGTATCCCAGTTGTAAACATGCCACGCAGAGGTCCCGGAAGAAAAGACAAGGCCCAGAAGGGTCCGTTGGGTCACGATGGAGGTATGTCGTGTGTACACGTGTGTGTGTGTGTGTGTGTCGATCGCGCATGGTATACTCGAATGACAAGGTGATTGGCAGGCTTATTAGATTAGAGATAGTATGCGAAACGCTACGTATAGCATTGTGCGATGTTCTGTATTTGAATATTATACATGAGGCACATAAATAGGTCATGCATTACTGCCATTCGAGTGTATGTACCTATATCACCACTGCTCAGACCTTTTGAGCAACCGTGTGGCGTTATAATTATACTGTTCATATAAAGGTGCATGTACAGGTAGTGTGTAAAACAATTCTCAATCTCCACATGAATGAGATCGATATCGAGTATACAATATAAATAGAATACTTTGCGAAAGAGGTAATATTGCAATTGCTTACGAATATATATATATATGTGTGTGTGTGTGTGTGTGTGTCTATATATATATATATATATGTCTGTGTGTGTGTGTGTGTTGTTTTCCGTCTATTGGCTGTTTGTTGCTGTTCGGTGTGTGTTTGTAGTTATGCATATATATATATATGTGTGTGTGTGTATGTGTGTGTGTTTGTATGTATGTTGTATATTATTGTGTATAATATATATTATATGTGTGTGTGTGTGTTGTGTGTGTATGTATATGTATATATATATATATATATATATTAACCATGGATATTTCGGTTGGTGTAGCAGTATAACTTCTGATACTCTGCATAGTCCAGTCATGTCATGAGTTTTCCTCTGTATCGCGTGAATTATTTTAGACTTAGGATGTGTATGTGTGCTTCTCCATCCACATCTGATCTCTGCTAGACTGTAGTATTGTAGTACCTCACCGTGAGTATCCAGTACCTTCGTCCAAATAACTGAATGTACATACACCTTGTATGTGCGAGTGGGGTACATGTGCATATATCTGTGAGATCATATCCGTCCTTACATACGCTTGTGGAGATGTATGTATAGCGTGTGTGCAAAGCCTTTACCGACACCCTTTCGCTACGTGGGGGCATGTAACGTTGTTGACTATTGGCTTGCCATACTTCCTCCGTTTTTATTGGACTTGTCGGTTTAAGATATGGTATATCCGTCGCCTAGGATATATTTGTATATATTAGGTGTTATATGTATATAATTTTATATTTGTGCTATTTCTATATATTTCTATATTTGTCCGTGTGTGTAGCATGTGCTTGTGTCGCAATGGGTAACGAATATTGATATATACCCATTCGCAATCCACACATCTGCATACTAAGAAATAGTTCAATAAATATACACGTTACGCTATCCACCACTAACAAGCTATGTACCGCACACCGAGATGATTGATAATATGTGATTGAGTCTTATGCTCTGTGAGTGTTAGTATAGATAAAATGGGATCGTAGAGCGAAGTTGAGGAATGTGTGTTTGTAATTTTATGCGCAGTATGTGTATAAGTGTATATATATATAACATATATACACACATATAAATATAATGGAAATCGCTTCTGTGAGGCGTACCTATGTACGCTCGCTCAAGTGTTTTAATATATGCGTATACGTAGGTATAGTTGTACGTTCCTAGGCACTTCTGAGCTTAGGATGTCGAAGAAATGTTTTCAAATCCATTCTGGGTTGTTCTATGGACAGGAATGTTCACACAGACAAATGAGATTTGACCTGACACATGTATATATCCATCTCTGTGTGTGTTGTGTATGGGTCGGTGGGTGGGTGTATTATATTTATATCCATATATGTATAAATGTGTGATCATATATCTATGTATATTTATATATATATATGTATTTATAGCTCTGAAAAACACACATATAGTAATACATGGGAATTTAGTCCCCATTTAGACACCTTCACATTGCATGGCGCAGTAGCTGATGTTGCAATACATTCCACACCCCCACAGAGGGAAAGCCTGTGTTTCTGAAGAGCAAGCTGAAAGCCAGTACAGAGACTTCGGTTCCCACAAAGATCCCACAAAAACAAGGACCTGGGCGCAAGGGTAGTGCAACGGCTAAGAAGGCCCGAGCGGCTAGAGAAGCTGCAGGTATAGGGGTGTCTTGTGTATATATGTACGCTACAGTGACAATGTGTATGGATTGTTGTTTTTGTATATGTGTATGGGTGTAAGACATGTTAGGCATAGCTACACAGCAGGTATAGTAGTATCTTATACACAGTAGGTATAGTAGTTTTGTCTTGTGTATCTAAATACGCTACAGTGACAATGTGTCTGCATTGTTGTTCTGTATATGTATATGGGGTGTATGGCATCTTGGGCACAGATACACATAGCATTGTACACGCACACGACGTTGTGGTTTGGAGTAGAGAGTCTGGATGGTTGATTGTGTGTACACCTGTTATGTACCGTACCACCAGCCAGGTGGTGTGTGCTGTGGTCTATCTGAGTTTAGGAATAGTATAGCCCATGGTCTATATCTGATCGAACCATTGCGGATACCAGCCTGATATATACTACATGCCTGGTACACGCAGGATGTATATAAAAATGTACAAGAACGGGAATACACACACACCCCGATACATATTTGCCTACCTAACTATTAACGTACACCCTACCATTCAGATTCGTAGCTGAAAAGGCAGAACCCGATACACACAGTATACATACAAATACACAAACCCAAGGACACACACACATCAATATCACACACTTACTTATCCAAAGTACACAACACCTCCCATTCACCTTCATCAGCTGAAAAGGCAAAACCCGATACACGCAGTACACATACAAATACACAAACCCAGGAACACACACACCAATATCACACATTTACCTATCCAAAGTACACAACACCTACCATTCACCTTCATCAGCTGAAAAGGCAGAACAGGAAGCCGAGGCCCAAGAGTTGGGCTCTGACGATGACGGTGAGCAGACCAATCTCTTCTCCGATGACGACGAAGACGCGGGTGCGGCGATGAGTGCCGAAGCGCTGCAGCAGCAAAAGGCCAAGGGGTTCAGCGACAACAACCAGAGCTGGCTGAAGCTCATGAACGCACACAAGATGTCCTCGGATGAGGAGGGTGGACAGGGCAGCGATGCCGAGGATGAGGAGATGATGGTGTGTGTGTGTTAGTGTATGTATGTGTGGTGGGGGGGTTAATGTGGGTGTGTGTGTTGTGTTGGCGGTTTGTCTGCCTATGCGTAGTGTGATGTGTATGCTTGGTTGGTGTGGAGGTAGTGTGTACACCTGGTAGGGATAAGGTTTGCAAACCCTAATCCCTCGCGGTGGTAGGGTTTGTACACCTTGGGAGCGGCAGGGTTTGTGCACCTCTGCCGATATGTTGAATATACCCCATCTCACCTGTTGTTGCAGGATGACGAGTTTGCTGAGGCTGTTGAGGGGGAGCCCAGCGATGGCGACGACAAAGAATCATCGGGGTCTGATTCGGATTCGGATGAAATGGACATTGAGAAGAAGTCCCGAAAGATCGACGCACAGAGGAAGCAGGATGAAGAAGAGGACCAGGCAGCGGACATGGAAACGGGGGATGTGGAGTCAGAGAGGTGTGTGTGTTTGTGTATGGCGGGATGGGGGTGTAGGGTTATTTGTGTATTGGGTGTACAGTGGTGTGTTTGTGTTCGGATGTGTAGCGAGCATATATATATATATATAACGCTTGTGTCTCGATTGCGTGTGTGTTCAATCGCCGTCATGGCGTGTATTCAAAGCAAATTTTCAACTAAATCTTGAGAAGATACGTAAAGCCAATGGTTGTGACAGAATGGTTCTGGGCGAAAACCAGTGTTGGTATGAATTCTCAGTGTACAAATATAGACATCGAATGATATAGTTGTGTTTTTGATGCGCTCTCTCGCCGTCGAGTATTGGTAACACGTTGCTCCGTGCTATTTTTAGATGCCTACTTCTTGGCAGGTGCTGACACCAATCTATCTACACCTTACTCTGTTCTATTTTTAGGTTCATCCTCCCCGACGAAGTTGCAGAGGGTGAGGAAGATCCGGCAGCCACCGACTTAGTGGAGGTACAGGGGCGTATCGGACAAGTGATAGCCGTGCTCAACAACTTCAAGTATCTGGCGCAAGAGGTGTGTTCGGCTGCATCCCATGCAGGGCGTATCATATGGTTGTTACAACCTATATACTGGGTGTCTCTATTGGTTTGATGTGAGTGAATATGTATTGTGTATGAAACGGTAGAATGATATGGTTGTTACAACCTACATACTGTGTGTCTACTAGTTTAGTGGGAGTGTATATGTATTGGGTGTGAGCCAGTATAGTGATGTGTTAAGAGTTGGACAAGTAATTCCCGTGCTCAACAACTTCGAGTTCCTCGCATAGAGGTATGCTTGTCTGTGTGTATCTTGTTATAGTTGTCGTGGGAGTGATTGGTATGTAGAAATGTAGCGCGTGTTATGACGATGTTGTCCACTTGTGCACTCTATCAGGACAAGTCACGAGTGGACTACGTCAACCGATGATCGAGCATGCTTGTTGTTGCTAACGCTGTTGTCCAAACATGCACTTAAGGATAAGTCGCGAGTCAACTATACCAACCAACTGATCAAGTGTGGTTCGTGTTGTCAACGTTTTTGCCCAACATTATACTCCAAATGGACAAGTCGCGTGTGAACTATACCAACCGACTGATCAGGTGTGCATTTGATAGTTAACCTTGTTGTCCACTTATGCATTCTAACAGGGCAAGTCGCGAGTGGACTACACCAACCGACTGATCAAGGACCTCTGCACGTACTACGGCTACAACACCTTTATGATGGACAAACTTTTGGAGATGTTCACACAGCACGACATTGTGGAGTTCCTAGAGGCTTGTGAGGTGCCCCGCCCGCTCACGATCCGTGTCAACGCGTTGAAGGTACGCTTACACATGCAGATAGGATGATAGCTTACACATGCAGATAGGATGATAGCTTATACATGCAGAGAGGATGATAGCTTACACATGCAGATATGATGATAGCTTACACATGCAGAGAGGATGATAGCTTACACATGCAGAGAGGATGATAGCTTACACATGCAGAGAGGATGATAGCTTACACATGCAGAGAGGATGATAGCTTACACGTGTAGATAGGATGCTAGCTTACACATGCAGATAGGATGAGAGCTTACACATGCAGATAGGATGAGAGCTTTCACGTGCAGAGAGGATGATAGCTTACACGTGCAGATAGGACGATAGCTTACACATGCAGAGAGGATGATAGGAGGAATTGGTTCTGTCTGTGTAGACGTACGTCATGGATGTATATTGTTCGTGTGCGTGTATGTGTGTGTATAGTATAGGCCTTGCATGTTATGTGCGGGACGTATACGTGGATGTGTTCAGTGTACAAATACTTATTTACATTACAGTTGTGTCTTGGTGGTTACAGTGGCACGAGCTATCCTGCACTCGGCGAAGTATTTTTATTTGTGTACCACAGGAGAAGCTATACCTCGTCTAGTTAAATGTGTGCGTGTATATCGGGATAGGCGTATTGTGTATGTACCCTTGTATATGAATAGCCTTGTTTCTATGTATATATAAATACCACTATATATATATATATATATCCCATATATGTCCGTCTATCTGTCTGCCTACACTACTACGCCTTACTTTCCACCGTCTGTCTATACCCCTCGCAGGCAAGGAGACGAGACGTAGCCCAGTCTCTCATCGCCCGTGGTGTTAACCTAGACCCCATCGGCAAGTGGTCTAAAGTGGGTCTGGTCATATTCGACTCACCCGTGCCCATTGGCGCCACTCCAGAGTACCTCAGTGGACAGTACACCATCCAGGCCGCGTCCTCGTTCCTGCCGGTTATGGCCTGCGCCCCACAAGAAGGTGATGTTTTGTTTTATGCTTTGGAGTGTATTATATATATGTATAAACTGGGCATCCGGGCTGCTTCCTCGTTACTGTCGGTTATAGGCGTGTGGTCACTTAGAATACGTACTTCAATAGCTATTTCAACCCGGTACACATGTATATAAATATATATGCATGTGTGTATTTGTTTTTATATTCGTATTTGTATACATGTATGTGTGTGTGTCGTGTGTATTTGTATGTGTGTATATATATATTAGAATGTGTTCGTGTATTTGTATTTGTTTTCATTCTTGTATTTCTATCCACATATGCATGACCTTTTGAAGTATCCACATATACTTGATTTTTTGTATACTTGATGTGACATATCCACGTGAATGTGCTACTGTTCGAAAACACTCTCTATCACGTATCTCCGTGATCGCGCGCATCTTCTGCACACTATCGTGGTACAATCCCTTTCCAAATAAAACGTTCACCAAAACGTTTAAAAAAGCTTCTGCCATCCATTTCCTAATTTCGTCGCCTCCCTCTGCCCCTGCACACGTCGCGGATTCCTTCTTCCCGAATCTTGTGTCATTCCACTCTCCAACCATCTGCTCATGTACCCCATCCTTCTTCACCTCTACACTCCCATGTGCATCCACAGGTGAGCGTGTACTTGACATGTGCGCCGCTCCCGGCGGCAAGTCCACCTACGCCTCAGCACTGATGAAGAACTCCGGCATCCTCTTCTCTAACGACATGAACAAGTCACGTACCAAGTCTCTCTCCGCCAACATCGCACGTATGGGCGTGCGCAACGCCATCGTCTGCAACTACGACGGCAAGATGTTCCCCAAGGTCATCGGTAACTTTGACCGCGTGATGCTGGATGCGCCATGCTCGGGCACGGGTGTGATCAGTAAAGACCCCAGCGTCAAGGTCAACAAGGGCGACCGAGACATCCAGAAGTTGTCGCATCTGCAGAAGGAGCTGCTGCTGCACGCCATTGATAGTGTGGATGCCAAGAGTAAGACCGGCGGTATCATCGCATACAGGTGTGTGTGTGTGTGGACGTTTGTGGGGTGAGGTTCGGTTCGTGACAGTCTGAGATGTGAGGTGCTCGTTAGAGTATAGAATTTTAGTGTTCGTGGATTGCAACCAATATGTTCATCGATACAGCGCATGTTATAATGTGGTTTCTGCATTAGGCATTACTGCTACGTTGAAAGTAGTGCGGAGACCAGCTGCTACGTCTACAGTAGCTCTGTGTTTGTGTGTGTATATGTGCACGCAAATGTAGTGTTTTGCAAGCCATCAAAAGGTTGCACTATACAGATACACATGCATATGTATGTATATATATATATATATGGACCACTACCTATATTTGTGTGTACCTTGTGCAACATACTTGCGCAAACAAGCTGCTGAGACTGGATCACCAATTAAGTGCTTCTGTGCACAATCATAGTAACTATCATGGGCACGAGGACAATCTATGGGGCAAATGTTTATATACGTGCATAGATGTACCAGAGTATCTTCTCAACGGCATACAGTTAACTATCTATCACCAACATACAGTCAACAATTTAACACCAACACCACCGTTTGTTGCCCATCGGTCACCCGTCTCTCCCCTGTAGTACATGCTCTATCATTCTACCGCCAACATACAGTCAACTATCTATCTCACACTAATACCACCATGTGTTGCCCATCTGTCACCCGTCTCTCATCTGTAGTACATGCTCTATCATGGTGGAAGAGAACGAGGAAGTGGTCAACTACGCCCTTAAGAAGCGCAACGTCAAGCTTGTGGACAGCGGCATCGAGTTTGGCACGGATGGCTTCACCAGGTGAGTGTGTGAGTTACTGGTAGTACTTTTATGTATTTCTCGCACAGTGGGCTTTGCCAACAACGTGCATTGGTACGTACATTGGAGTACACTATATTATCAGTGCACAGGACAGTTTGGTACGGATGGTTTCACCTGGTTGGGACAGGGTGGTACACGTGCGTAGGTAGACGTCAATGTGACAGCCGTCTAGGACCAAGTACTTGAGCTACTTGTGCAGTGCTTGATACATATAGGTATCCATTACGCACAAGACCTTGACACAGACAGTACACGTGCGTAGGTAGACGCCAATGTGACAGCCGTCTAGGGCCAAGTACTTGAGCTACTTGTGCAGTGCTTGATACATATAGGTATCCATTACGCACAAGACCTTGACACAGACAGTACACGTGAGTGGGCTCTTGTTCGGTGACCATGTGCTGTATGTCGCTGACCCTTAATCCACTCTTCTTAGTAGGGATAGTCTTACTTATCTCAATTTGGGGTAGAATATATTCTCATAGTGTGACTGAGATTTATTTCAATTTGGGGTATATTGTATTTCCTATAGTGTGACAGGGTATGGTTATGGGGCTTGTCCCACACATGGGCTTACAACGGTTCGTTCCAATTGATATGTCTATGCTTTACTTACCCTTGGGATGTTTGTATATTGCAGTTTCCGTTTCATTGATATGTCTATGCTTTGCTTACCCCTGGGATGTTTCTATATTGCAGTTTCCATTGATATGTCTATGCTTTGCTTACCCCTGGGATGTTTCTATATTGCAGTTTCCGCGGTAAGAAGTACCATCCCTCCGTCAAGATGACTAAGAGATTCTATCCTCACACACACAACATGGACGGTTTCTTTGTTGCCAAGTTCAAAAAAATTAGGTATGGTTTTGTTCCAGAAACGGGATATTGTCCCATTTCTCCCAGGGACTATCTGCATGTTTTGTTTTGTTTTTTCTATTTATCGGAAACTAAAGCTGAGATTGCCCTCGAAAACTATGCAACACCAATAGCCTCGCCCGAAAAGTGCGAGTGTATTCAAACTCTGAGGACAAGTGATGGCCAAACTGTAGTAGTATTTTGGCCTACCCTTGCGTGCAGATCTAAGCTTTATTTCACTTGTACCCCCACCAACCCAGTAATAAAATCCCCGCGGGTGTGAGCGATGATGCGGACGAGGCTGAGGAAGAAGAGCCTGAGATAGTGGAGGAAGTGGAGGGTAAGTCTGTGCACTTTTTAGATATACATATGCATATATCTCAGAAGCATCAGCTCTTGGTGTTTAATCCTTAAATTATAGATATGTATATGGGTAGGTGCTTAGCTTGCATTGTCCATGGTGCGTAGTGCTTGTGCTGTATGGTGAATGTGGGTGCATGTCGTACACATCTTATCGGATCATGACACGGCTGTTTGCCATCACATGTCCGCTTAATGGCATGCAGACTGTAGCATCTGGAGACCAGATTATCAAACAAGATGACAGGGATATCCTTGTGGTGTGTGTGTGTGTGTGAAGCGTCGTTTCTGGAGCTGGATAGCCAAGGCTGAGACGTGTGTAGTCTTGTGACCAAGTACTGTTGTGTCTATGGGCTGTATCGTGGTTTTAGTCTATTTCTTGTCGTTTGTACACCGAACAATCCGAAGCATCATATGCTGTGTACTGCTTTCCAGATTTATTCAAGTATCTGATTCCCGTTTCTTTAAGCAGAGGAGCCCGTTAAAAACTCCAAAAAGGCAAAGAAATCAACGGCATCTGCCGATTCAGAAACTAACCGTGTGGAAGAAGTTGTAGTCGAAACGGAATCTACGACAGATGCACCGGTAGCAACAGAACCTGTAGCAGAAAGCACGGGCGAGTCCAGAAAACGTAAAAAGGATAGCAAGAAGGGCAAGAAAACGTCTGAGAAGAGTGGTGAGAAGGCATCAGTGGCCGAAACAACGGAAGAAAACGTAAACGAAAGTGAAACTGTAAGTGCGGTTGTGGAGAGTAGTGAGGAACCTGCGCATAAGAAACAGAAGAAGGACTCGAAAAAGAGAAGTAAGAAGTCCAGCAAAAAGTCCAAGTAGGAGTAGAGGTTCACACACATGACTTGCGGTAAGGAGGGTAGTTAGGAGAATATAAAACTTATAACCATGTATATAACATTAGAAGTGATTAAAACATTATTACCAACAGACCTGAGAAATGTGGTTAATAATTGTAGGGCAGTACTAGTAGTAGGACACCGCTTAGTAGAAGTGGACAGTTGTGAGAGACCTGCGCAGAAGAAACAGGAAAAGGACTCAAAGCAGAATAGTAGTCAATGCAGGAGCAGAGGTTCGCACACGAAGCAGGGTAGTTAAACGAATACAAGACATAAATAACACGTGTATAGCATGAGATGTGATTTGAATATTGTTACTAACAAGTCTAAGAACGCGGTGTGAATTGTTTAAAAGGCTGTACTTGGCGCAGTGGATAGTAGTAGTACGAGAATGATGCAGATGAATATACAAAGAGGACCCGAAGAAGAGAAGTAAGAAGTCCCAGCTAAAATCCAGAACAGAAAAAGAAAGAAAAAAGCGATATTCACACACTTGACTTGCCGGAGGGAGAGCAGATAGGATATAAATATAAAGTCCATCGACTACAGGCACGCGGGTTGGCAGCACGAGCATACCTGCCGGGCGTTCGCAACGCAAGGACTGATCATTTCTCTCGAGTCAGTCGTCTCCTCAATACACGCACGGGCGGCTGGATTGCTTTATTTCTAGTTTCGTTGTATGATTGTACTTTTAGTGCCTTTGTGTGAATGTATTTTTCAAGTTCATTTGTAAGTTTTTTACTTCTAGTTTCTTTGTATGATTGTACCTCTAATTCCTTGTATGATCATATTTCTAGTTCGTTTGTACGATATTATTCTCGGTACTTTACTTTATTAGTTTCATTCACTAAAGTTAATTGTTTCCGTTTTGTCGTTGGAGCTTTCCTGTAGACGTTGTCACTCCCATTATCTTTATCCACGCGCATTTTCTTTGCCCGTGCTGCCTGAGATGCTTTTCTCATATACAATAGATGCTTCATACAGTTGACTCGGCCTCATTCTGCTAATTGTAGCTAACTACCACCCTCATCGTATTGCATATCGTTCCCGCTTTATGCATCTTCCCCTTTCTTTTGGTTCGCTAGTACCACACGGACGCATATATGCTACGATAGATGACATATACTGCTGATTGAAGCTGGTACAAATATCTCTTTAAATTAGGTCGAGTACGACTCGAGAAGATTTGGTTGCTTCGCCAGAGATCCCTCAGCCTGGAGATTCCCTTCAGTGTCCTTCACATCAGAAGCGCATCCCGTACCAACTGAAGACGCCACGAGCAATCATAAAGTACGACTGTGGTGGGATTAAATGTAGAGAGAAGGTTGGCGATTGACTCAGGCAGGAAGGATAGCACTGTGTTGGATGCAATGCATAAGATACAATAAACACGTTATCACGAGCACCAACAAGAAATGCTATATTTATATA